AATTTGTATTTTTCCTTATTTATCTAGCGCATTCTAAGCTTAGCCAATCAGAATTCAGCACTTGATTTAACGAGCCAATAGCATTTCGTTATTTGTATAGATCATAAACGCATGATATTTTCAAAATTTAGACTTCCAAATGTTTGGGGGAATAAAAATAAACTGTTTACCTGTTTAATTCGGGATTTTTTTTCAATTTTATTATATATAAAACAAATATAGATTACATTTTCCCGTTGTCTGTTCAGTTATAGATACAGAGTATGACGTCATATGCGGTAAGAACAAAAAGTGACCACTCGCTTTCTCACCTATAGGCGGCTCATGCATGGACACTTTTTGTTCTTACCATATATGACGGCATTTATAGACCTGTATAACATATAGTCAGGGCTGCTGCAGTGCAGATGGAAGCGACAAGAGAAAGGAAATATTTTGTAGTTCCCGTACGTTGTAGTGCCCCAACGATGTAGATCCCATCGATATATATTCATTCGATTGCATGCACCTGAGCTTTCCCAACCCTGCCTTTTGTGCCTTTTATATTTTATTATATACCGAGACGGCTTATATATTGTACGAAATGTCTCGCAGCCGTTGGCCTATAATTCAATGTCGATCATGAGGAGTTTCCGTCGGAGCTCGAATAAGTTAACTGAGACACATAATGACGAATATGAGTTTGCTTTGGTAAATTTCGAGCTGGAAGAGAAAGATCCCCAGTGGGTGAGAATTTGTCTTTTTCAAATATAAACTTCCCTTGCGTTACGTTTACATCATGCTTGTGTACGAATATCTCAGTACTGAACTTAACTACATTGCCAGAGAAACTAGCGGCCCCCACTGTCTCATGCAAGGTCATAATTTCGTACTTACAATCTTCTCATAGGTAAATGCGAACAGCTTCTTGTACGCAAGCGACATCTCATTATTGCCCTTCACAAAGTTTTTAGTGAAGATAAAAACTACGAATGAAAATGGAATCACAATTAAAATTAAGAATAACATTCCGGTATTATTTCATACACTGCAAAAAATTTTGACTTAAAAACTTGAGTAAAGAATGCATGCACATCATTGACTCAAATATTGAGTAAAATTATTCAAATTTATGAGCAAATTTACTCAATGTTCTAGTAAAATTGGGAAAACGAGAAATTTTCTAGAACTGAAATTGAGAAACACGACGCCCGGAGGGTGGAGTGTTTTCACACTATTTCGAGTTTTTCAAATTTCCACGAGTGTTGACATAACTGTCAGTGTATCAATACAGAAAAAAATGTTTTATATTTTTTTATACTGATATAGCAGGAAGAAATATATAGAAAGAAATTTCCTGTGTTGACATTGAGTGATATCAACACGGCTCTTAGCCAATCAGCGTTCAGAATTTACAAATGCTATATTGTAAAACATAATTAACATTACCTAGATAGGCTCCAGATTTATCTTTCCCATACGTATAAAGGTATCCACTTTTATGAACTTCTTCTAAGATATCCTTCTCAGAAATATCTACATCAATATACAGGGTGTATCAAAAAAAACTGAACAGATTTGAAATTGCTCTCAATTTCGCAAAACACCTATTTGTATCTGTTTTTTATATATATAGCTTCTTTGGGTACTTATAATGTAAAATAATGAAAAAAAATTCTCGAACTCAAATTTTGTGAACCAGGGGTGTGTGTCTTTTCCAACAAACTAAAAATGGCTCGCGCACAAAATTTAAAAGCTGTAATCATATTTTGAGTTAATAGATTGAAAATTTGTCGGGATTTTAATTACTGTACAAAATTTCAAACAATTTGGTTTAGTTTAAGCCCTTTAACTATTCATTTTGTTCTAAAAAGTCAGCCTTTCGCATGCTTAATTAATGCATTTACCTAATTTGCATATTGCTGACATATGCAAATTAGGCAAATGCATTAATTAAGCATGCAAATAGCTGATTTTTAGGAAAAATGTAACTTTGCGTGAATAGTTAAAGGGCTTAAACTAAACCAAATTGTCTGAAATTTTGTACAGTAATTAAAAACCCGACAAATTTTCCATCTGTTAACTCAAAATATGATTGCAGCTTTTAAATTTTGTGCGCGAGCCATTTTTAGTTTGTTGGAAAAGACACACCCCCTGGTTCACAAAATTTGAGTTCGAGAAATTTTTCTCATTATTCTACATTATAAGTACCCAAAGAGGCTATATATATAAAAAACCGGATACAAATAGCTGTTTTGCGAAATTGAGAGTAATATTAAATCTGTTCAGTTTT